AAAAGTGACAGTGTGCACAGAGAGGTCTGATGGCTAAGACTTGCCCCTGTCCTGGCCACCATGCTCAGGTTCAGGGACACCTGCTTGGACTCCCTATCACCCCTCCTCAATCTCCCCACCCCGAACCAGTCATCCCTTAGGAATGGCAAAGTGACTCATCAAGGTGGAAGTTCTAGGATCTCATTTCCCTACCCCAACAAAGCCACGGGCTCCCCTTGCTCTCAAAAATGTGAATAAAGCCAAAAAAATGTGAATGAAGCCCTCTCCTTGATATTAAAACCACATAGCATAGTGGGCAGAAGTGTGGAATGTGCAGTCTTTCTAGGTTCAAACCCCTGCTCCATTGCTTACCAGCTATGTGACTTTGGGCAAGTTCATTGCCATCTCTCTGTCTTAGCATTCTTAATGTGTAAAATACAGACAGTGAAAGTCACAATGATGAAGATCATAGTACTCACTTTATAAAACATTTTATGCAGATTATATAAAGTGCTGAGATCAGGTTGGCACATTGTAAATCCTCAGCTATCATTAATTATTCTCATTGTGATAGTTATCTACGAAGGCTCATTGCATTAGTTATCCTAAATCTTCCATTACACGGTGCCCAGTGCCAAAGACTAAATATATAAGGCCTGTTTATTGTTAAAATTGCAGCAGAAGACCTCGTCTACTGTCACCTTTGCTGCAGGAGGGTTCAAAGGTGCTAAAAGGAGAGTAAGTCTCATAAAGTAAAAAAAGGAAATTCTGACACTATCTCAGACTGACAAGGATTCTATTAAGGCAGAAATTTTGGACAAAGGGAGCTGTTCTTATAGGCCTCCAGGGAGGCTCAGCTGCCCCAGGTGGCTGCAAGGGGCAGGCAACAGTTTTTCATTTTCAAAAGAGGAGGGATTGTTCAATATGGGGGCATAGGGGTTCTGCTGGCTGGCCATTTCCTGGAATAGTGAGGGTGGTTGGGGCGTTTGTGTGTGGCCGAATTGTCAGAGTTGTCCATGTGGGGGCCACTGTCGCAGGCGACTTTGTACTAGCCTCAGCCATCGGTACCTCCCAGGCCCTCTGTACCTAGACAGTGCCTGTGATATGGCCACAGGCCCTTTGTGGCTGCTCACTGCCCCCAGCTCATCCTCACCTGGCCAGTCTGGGTCCCTACTGCCCACACTGCTCCCGGAAACATTTGTCCACACTGGTGGGCCCTCAAAGGCACCAGCCGCCCTGCCCTGACCCAGTCCTCCCTGGGGACGCCTCCCCTGCCATTCGTCCCCCAGAGAGGCCTCCTCTCCTCTCTCCATCTGGGTCAGGCGTCCCTGGCTCCATGAGGCTCCTTGTGCTCCTCACATTGCCCCTCATCACCATGGCACCTCTGCACCCATCACCTCTCCTCTTGTGCACTGTGAGCTTCTGGGGGGAAAGGGCTGTTTCTCACGCCCACAGAGTCCAGCGTCCTGCATGGTAGGTATCTGATAAATGTGAGTGGAACACAGCAATGATTCACGCCTGCACCAGTGGCTGATGTGGTTCCCAAGGTGGTTCCACGTCCACCTGGTGTGGTACTCAAAGGTGGGCGGAACGTTACCAAGGACACAGTACATTAGAAATCAAGCCCCTGCGCCCGGGGATGGAGTGTGCTTTGCTCACCGCCCATCCCTGGGATTCGGAACCAGGATTTTATCAATGTATTCCCGTCTCAGTGAGGGTGTCTTAGGCGAATGGCAGGAAGCTGCCCTTCCCCTGTTTGCTAGAGGCTAAGTAAATGAGGAAGCTTAGCCCACAGGCAGGCGGAAGCAGCGATGCTGGTCACAGGTGGTCTTCATCCCTGCATCTTTGGAAAGCACCCCAGCTTTCCAAGCACCGTCAGAGAAGAAACTTAGGCCACAGACAACCCTGAGCAGATGCCAAGTTCATCCAGCGGGAATCTGGGTTCTCAGAGGATCGACCACAGCTGGAGCACTCTTGAATTCTGTCTGAAATTCCCGAGGAAATGAACCTTGGGTGCATTTCAAGTGCAAGTGCTTCCCAATTTATCTGAGTTTGATGAATTTCTGCTAAGTCCACTCGCTCCCTAAGGCATGAAACTGTAGGGGCTGGAGGTGACGCCTGTCTGGAAGAGAGAGGGGGATAGAGGAAAGAGAGAGAATGAAATGAGTGACTTAAGGAGGGAAACGTGGGGTTGTCAGTGTGAAAGGCTGAAATCCCATGCCCTTGGTTAATTTGTCTCCAGCCTTCTTCCTCGAGACCTCACATTTTGAAAGATTTCTAATTTTTCATTTGTTAAGCTGGCTCCTTTGTATAGTAGTTCATGAGTTCTTCTTAAATAGCATTGCCCCCAAATATGGTCCTATGGCTGCGGCCACCTCCCCTCCCACACCTTGCATTGTGTCCCCATATCACCCTCCTAGGTATTTATACATTCATTCATGAAGTGTTTTTCTTTTGGTTCAGAAAATGTGATCCCTTAAGATATCATGTTCTAGACCAGCGGTTGTCAACCTGTGGGTCGCAACCCCTCTGTAACAATGAAAATACATCATGGCATCAGGAAGGTTGAGAACCACTGTAATCTAGACCACTATCAGGTGACTAGTGTCAGAGATGATGTATTATATAGTTTCGCACAGCTAGAAGGAGGATATTGAATGTTCTAATGTAAAGGAATGATAAATGTTTGAGATGATAGCTAAACTTGTTACCCTATCTGATCGCCTCACCGTACGTTATCTATATCAAAACATCACTACGTACCCTGCAAATATGCAGTTATTATTTGTCACTTAAAAAATAAAATAATCTTTTAGAAAAAGAAAATGTGGTTTCTACTGCTGCAATTGGCCTCTCAGTTCTGCCCACTGGCCACCCTTAACCAAATACTGCCCTTTCTTCTTTAAAAATCATTTCTGCTAGATTTTATCTCATTTTACAAAATTCTGTTTCATAGTCATACAATTTGAAAACCACATATAGTTATAGGTAGTATGACCTCTTTCTACCAAGGAGGATGATGGTGGCGGAGATGGTAATGATGGCCATGTCAGGCATATATAACCCACGAAGGCGTCCACATTTTATTAACTGGAACCTCTGACTATGTTACTATTCTGGCAAAAGAGACTTTGCAGACGTGGTTAAGGATAAGAACTTTGAGATGGGGGGATTAGCAGAGAATGTCCAGGTGGCCCCAACCTAACTCCATGGGTTTTTAAAAGCAGAGAATTTTGCCCCTGTGGTCAGAGAAGCAGGTATGACAATGGAAGCAAAGCCAGAGATGTGTGACACTGCTAGCTTTAAGACAGAAAGGGGGGGGCCCAAACTAAGGAATCTGCTGGCCTCTAGAAAATAGGCAAGATGAGGGCGGCATCTGTGGCTCAGTGGGTAGGGCACCAGTGCCATATACCGAGGGTGGCAGGTTCAAACCTGGCCCCAGCCAAACTGCAACAAAAAATAGCTGGGTTTTGTGGCAGGCGCCTATAGTCCCAGCTACTTGGGAGACTGAGGCAAGAGAATCGCTTAAGCCCAGGAGATGGAAGTTGCTGTGAGCTGTGACACCATGGTGCTCCACCTAGGGTGACAAAATGAGACTCTGTCTCTAAAAAAAAGAAAGAAAGAAAGAAAGAAAAATAGATAAGAGAGGGGATTCCCCCAAAGGGATTCCCCCTTTGTTCTCTTCAGAAGGAACAAAGACCTGCTGACCCCCTGATGTTAGCCAAGTGAGAAACTATAGGATTGTAAAATAATAAACCCATGTTTTTTTTGTTTTGTTGGTTGGTTTTGGCCAGGGCTTGGTATGAACCTGCCACCTCCGGCATACTCCACCTACTCCTTTGAGCCACAGGTGCCGCCCAATCCATGTTGTTTTAAGGCACTAACCTGGTAGTCATTTGTTCTAGCAGCAATAGAGAACTAGCATTCAATACATATAATGTACAGTGAGGACAGTACAAGTGTGCCTGGCATGGACTGAGAATTGTGTCCATGGGCTGCAACGTGCCACGCCCTTCACAATCATTTCTCACTTAATCCTCACAATCACCCTGCAGGCCAGGGCCTGTTACCATCCCCTTTACAGAAGGAGAAATCTAGGTGTAGGGAGACTAAGGGCCCTACCTAGCTTGTGTGTGAGGAAGTCAGGCTTCAGCCTGGTTCTTTATGTCCCACGGCTCAGATCGTATCAGAGAGCTCTGGTGGGCGGGGGTCCCGCCTGCATCTCTTCTTCTCCCTGTGGCTGGAAACCACAGAAGATGCCTGTCGGTGTGAAGGCATTTCAGCCCAGTGCCATCACTGATCGGGCAGCTATTGAGTAATGTTGGTTCCTAGACCGGCAAGGGACTCCAGATGGTAGAGATGAGTTCACTACAAAACATGATCGGTTCTCCTTTATTTCCATGCTTAGGAGAAAATCTCCACACCAGCTGGCAAAGCTCAAGTTTCATTTATTATTAAGAGTTCTTTGAGTACAAGCATGAGAAATTGATCGTGGCTACCTTACAAAAAAAGGAACATACTGGAATTGGAAAACATTGGAAAGTATGCCAGGGCATGGCTAACTTAAAAGCAAATGAAACATATGGGCAAGTACAACAGACTCTTCTTGAGTTTTGGGCCACCTGTTGTCATTCTCCCACAACAATGGTGGCAACAGAGCCCCACTGTCCCCTGTGGATCTATCCATTCTTCATTCTCCATGTGATTCTGGTGCTGCTGACACCTCCATGCCTGGGCTGGAGGATGAGACCTCTGTCTAAAAATCTCATGCATTCCTTCTTCCTGGCTTCAGTGACGGGTTTAGGGAAGAGCAGGTGGCACCTTAATCCCAACACAGCTAACCCTGCACTGTCCTTGTTCCACCAGGTGTCATCCTAGCCTGCCATCATGAACACAAAGGCTGTCTAGATAATGGAGCCCACGTCACGGGAGGTTCAGCCAGGAGACACTGGGAGGAAAAATCCAAACCCCAAGTGAACAGCTATAATTGGACTTTTTAGTGATTTGAATCCATACACTAGTTTTTCAAGCCAGGTAAGAGTTGCATTTTCTATTTATTGCGGCCCTAAGAGGCTCTCTGGTGGCAGGGAAAGCTTCTGAGATGAGTGAGACCAACCGTGGTGGGCTGTCTCCTTGTGCTTGTCTCTGTTCTGTCTCATCGTGTCAAGCTGCAGAGCCCCGAGACATTACCCAATAGGCTGAATTTCAAGTATGAGCCCATTCTTTGCAGATGGAAGGCAAGCACTTCCGTGTACAGGCCCATGGTGGGAAAGTGTTTTCCTGAAAGGAATTAAATTCACTGTTAGTTCCTTACAAAGCAGCAGTTGAAAAAAATACTTATTACAATATGGAGGAGAAGCTTGGCCACAACTCCTACCCCTTCCCAACTGGCCCTCAGCCCATCTTTGCCTCCCTCCCAACTTGGACTCGGGGGTGCCTTGTCCACATACCTCCCTGGCGTCTTCCTGTGCACACAGGGTCTGTTTCACATCTCGGCCCCTGTCCACTCCAGCCTGCCAGGCCAAGCACATTCCTGCTTCCCAGAAATGTGCCTCTTATCACAGCTCCAGCCCATCAGGAGAGGCTGCCAGGAGCCACTCTGTGCAATAACCAGAGTCTTGCACAATCCTGAAGAAGAGATTGATGGGGGTGGGGAGTGTGGGCTTTGAGGCCATTTGTTCCTGTGCTCAGAGCTCTTTGTCCCTGTGAATCCAGGGTTTCTGTGACAAGTGCCTATGGCTTACAGAGCCCAACATGCAGACTGGCCGTGCAACCCCCAACACCTATCAGTGCCCTTCCCAATTTTCTAAAATCCATACCAAGGCCCTGGAAACACTGGGTAGAGCATGCAAAGCTCTAGGGTTTATATTTCGAGTGTCCTGCCCATGACTGTCCTCTGTGCTCATTATGCCTCTGATATATACTCCACAGGCAGAGAATCTGGTGCTGCTGCACTTGATGAACCATGGGCCATTGGACTATCCCTTCTTCTCTCTGGGCTTTCTTTACCTGCCCTATCCAGGGCAGGAGCCCCATCTACAGTGTCCCCGATAAGCATCATGTCTTGCACATGCCCAGTGGCAGGGACTCACTTGCTCATAGGCGGCCTGTATCATCAAGGCTCTCTAAAGCTATAGCATCCACGGGTGGGGACTAAGCAGAGGGCAATACAACACAATTTCTATACCCTTGGTGGCCACCCACTCACCACTGCTCCTAGCTTGGCTTTGAGCATCTGGGTCACACTGTCACATGGTCAAATAAAGCCTCTGATATTGAACATTATCTGTGATCTGTCTCTAAGCCAGTTCTCTCTCATCTATTTTTAAAGCCAATGGGCTTCTCAAGCCTGAATCTGGGGTTTTACACTGATCCCTGTGAAATCCCATGACATTTTTTTTTTTCTCTCAGAGTTTGTTTTTGTTATTGTTGTTGTTGTTTGTTTGTTTGCTTTCCAGAGTGAGGGCTCTGCAGACAGGCAGACTTGGGTTTGCATCTTGATTACAGTTTCCTTGCTGTGTGACCTTGGGAAAGTTTCTTAAGCTCTCTGAGCCTTCATTCCCTCAGCTAGTAGATAGGGATGGTAACATACACTGGTTTTGTGAATATTGTGAGGATTCAGCAGATGAAAACAGAGAGCAGAAAGGTCTGTACTTCACCTGGCCCAGGGCAGGCATCCAGTGAAATGGCTGTATTATCCCACAGGCCGGGTCAGGAGATGACCTTAGGTGTATGAATGTGCTTTAAGAGCTTCAGAGGCACCTCCTGAGAAGCCCTGTGCTCCTGGTGCCATTGCTCTGGTCTCCACCCTGACATGGCCCCCCTGAGGAAACTGATCAGGACAGAAGTGAGAAGCTCAGAACTCACACCCTGGACAGGCCTCCCCATGCCTCTGATTCCATGAGCTATGTAAGGATTAGGTGGGCTCAGGTTCAGGGAAGGAGGGGCCTGGTCTTTGGGGTGCAGGCACTCCTAGAGAAGGGTGAAAGAGCTTTGAATTTGAGGTGTTAGTTGTCCTGGTTCTGTCTTGCCCTGAGAAGGACCATTGCCCCCCAGAGCAGCCTGGTCTTCAGCCCTGGGAGAGTGTATTATGAAGACAGAGCTTGCCCTTTGGACCCAGGCAACTTGAGTGGGAATCCTAACACCTCCTTTACACATGAGTTCTCCTCCTTCCTGGACCATCTTCCTCTCCATCTTTCCTGACTCCTCTTTGACAAGCTCTATTCTCTCAAAATTAAACTCTCAGAAGCCCCTCGCCCGCAGCAAGTTTATGTGTTGTCTTTTTTCCCCCTCTGTTGCCCCAGACTACCCTGTGTTCTAACAGCAGCCAAGCATAATCAAAAATACGTGTTCAATGTCAGGCTTCCCAGCCACCCACGAGCAGTTTGATGGGAGAGACAGAGGCCTGTCCATCTGTGCCTCTGGTCCCGGAACAGTGCCTAGCACTGTGAAGTACACCATAAATATTTGCTGAATTAATTAAGTCAAAATAAAAGCAGAACCAAAACCAACTGGCAGTAGAAACAGCCACAGGCTGGAGAAGAAAAAGAGGAGGGAACAGAAAAGGGCATTTCTTGGACCTGGAGGGAACCCAGACCAGGTGTGACTCAAGTCCTAGTCCAGCCTTGGCCATAAACTGTTTTGCCCTTGAGAGAAGTGCAGTCTTTGGGTTCCAGCCTCTCTCTTCCAGGAACAGTTAGGTTGGCTTCTTTCTAAGTCCCCTTCTGTTTCTAATATACTCTGTGGAAGGCCATCGACTAGGGTTGGGACTGTAAACTTCCATCTCCCCCTCCAGCTCAGAACCAAGCTTCCCAGGAGGAGAAAGGCCTCCAGCAGAGGGCTGGGTAGCCTTCTTCCTACATGGGCCTCTGATGGGCACAGTTTAAGACGAAGAAGAGAACGATTTTTTTTTTAAAGTACATGTCTCAGATTCAGTCTTATACCAGCAGGTTTCTATCCCCTTTGTTTGCTTCTGAGTGATTCTCAGCGTTCATTCCACATCAGCAACTTACAAGCAACATGAGAGGAAATAAATCCGCCACAGACACTATACACCATGCTGCAGCAATTACAAACTGCATCCTGAAAGCAGCCCGAGGTAGCTGAAGTGTATGAATGCACAATGCTGAGGAGGAGGAAAGATGAAAAGAAGGGAAAGGAGAGAAAGGGTGAGGAGAGACAGGGAGGTGGGGAAGGAGGGAACGGGCCTCAGTGATCAGTGATCTATGTGACAAAGCAGGGCACCAGACTTCTCACCAGTGTTACCTCATTTAATTCTTTCAACATTCCTAGGAAATAAGGTTATTGGTGACTTCAGGTTATGAACGAGAAAGTGAAATGAGAAGTAAAACAATAGATATGCCAACAGTGGAGCAAAACAACCGGAAAAATGAATGAAATTGCCCTGCAGAACTTCGGAAGGCCCTCGTGCAGGGTGCATGGTGCTTGGAAAAGCACGAGCAAGGCTGAGGCTTGTAATGGGGCCAGGTGGAAGTCTGCATGCGGGGAGAGGAGGTGCCATCCACCCACGGCCAGGAGCCAGGCCGCACAGCTGCACACACGCAGGCACACACGGAAGGCCTTGCTTTCCAGATAAGTTAAACAGAAGAGTTCTCAGACTTAGGACACCACCCACAGTGAGGGGGATGGATGGGAATTCAAATAGAATCAGGAAGATATGAGGAGACCACCAGCCTGGCATTGTGTTAGAATATCAGCATCCAAGTTTAGACTACTTGGCAGCATACTGAAGAATCTTTCCACAAGAAACAGTACTACAGCAAGAGCAATGATGATGATCATGATGAAAAATACTTACAGTAATTTGCGCTTATTCATGGAGGATGCATCCCAAGACTCTCAGTGGATGCCTGAAGCTGCAAATGGCACAAAACCAAGGAAAACCAAGGCTACCTTTTCATTTACACACCACTTCATGTCTGCTCTTTGGCATATCCAAATTGCCAGCATCATTACTCTAGTGACATCATTAAGTCAAACAATGGTTACTTGTAACAGAAGCACTGCAGTTCCTCAGCAGCCAATCTCATAACCCGGACGTCTGCTAATGGCGGGCAGAGTGTGCACAGCATCTACACACTGGACAAAGGAGGAGCCATGGCCCAGGCAGGACAGAGCGAGATGGCACAAGATTTCATTAGGCTGCTCAGTGTGCAATGGTTTATGTCTGGAATTTTCCATTTAATATTTTCAGGTCACAGTTGATCAGACCGTAAAAAGTAGAATTATGGACAAGGGCAAACTAACATAGTGCTTGCTCTGTGCCAAGCATTGTTCTAAGCATTTTGTATGTATTAGCTCATCTCACCCTCATCTTAAAAGATAAGTACTATTAGTATTATTCCTATTTCTGCTATTAGCAAACTGAGGTTCAGAAAAATGAGTAATCCTAATACTTAATGATATTAGTAAGAAACTAGCAATTGCCAGACACTGGCATTTTTACACCTGAAGTGCAATGAAATAATTGATGAGTTCTGTTTACCCATAAGTAACTCACAGTACTCTCTTTATAATTCATTCACTGACTTCTGACTTGGGAGTTGGAAACCAAAAATTATAAATCATTAAAGAAAGCTTCCAAACAGGGAAAGACAGACAACTATGACAGTGAAGGGAAAAGAAACTCAGAAAAAAATAAGCAAATGCAAGACATGGAAAAAAACTTTTCTAAAACTCATTTTTATCTCCAAAAGAATAAGAAAAGTTATGACATCTGTCAAAAAAATAGATAGCAGTAAAAAAAGAAAAAGAAATCAAAATAATTTATACAAATTAAAAAAGAAAAAAAGGAAAATTAAAATCTAAGGGGGAAAAATATATACAGCTTGGCTGCTAAAGGAAAAATCTCTTAGAAAACACAAGAAAAAAAAAGAAAAGGTAAAAAGGATTTTAAAAATTCAACATTTAGAAGTTCAATCCAAGCGATTCAACATATGGTCTCCCACAATGAGATAAAAAGGAATAAGGTGATATTGTCAAAGATGTGAGTAATTACCCAGTGACTAGGATAATAATGAAGGGGATCGCTGAGCACTCAACATAATGAATGAAAAGATGCTTCATCATAAAATTTCAGAACTATGAATGATAAAAATAAGAGTGTAGAAGCTTCCATGGGGAAAAGATTTAAAGAACTAGAGTAAGAATGGCAGTGATCTTTTCAACAGCCACATTAATACCTAAAATACAAAGGAGAAAGACTTTTTTTTATTTCAAAATATTAAAGAGATACAAATATTTTAGGTTACATGGATCAGATAGCTTTTGTAATGCTTCAATCCTGGCTATAGGTGTGCCTGCCATCTAGGTAGTGTTTATAGTACCCATTAGGTAGGTTTTTCCCTCCCTTCTCTCCCCTGCCCCGCCCCTTTGTTGATTTCCAGTTTTACTACCCTCTGTGCACATGTGTGCTCATTGAATAGTTCCAATTTAATAGTTTGTTTTTCCATTCTTCTTTTTTCTTTCTTTCTTTCTTTCTTTCTTTCTTTCTTTCTTTCTTTTTTTTTTTTTTTTTTTTT